AAGTCTTCCAGAAAGTATACATGCAATCGAAGAAAGACCACGGTACCCGTTCGAGAATACGTAGCACGTTCGAAGGAGATTATAAAACGGCAAAAATATATATCGCCCTGCTTGGTGGCAACAGACAGTGAGCCAATGCCGTCGAGTTCCAGAAGAGGGTTATTGCAACGTGTGTGTAATTCTCCGGTTGCCTTTGTGTGGTTTCTTCAGATGTGTTCTCTGTCGACGAAGAGTTGGCATTCTTCTGTATTTATTTCATCGAGAATGGACGTCTTGGAACACCCCGCCGCCCTCCTCCGACGCTTGGTGAATGGTGGCATCAACTTCAGGGGAGGCGCCACGGACGAAGAGCGGTCGCTACTTCGAGGCCATGAGGTGAGTAGCAGCGACGGCCAGTTTTCTGTCAGTGCGTACAGTAAAAACTTTTGCAATCGCGAGTATGTGTTGTTGCCGGCCTTGCAGGCGGGGATTAAAATATTTTCCTCTTGTTGTTGTTGTTGTTGTCGTCGTCGTCAACGCTTGCTAACGCTCACTTTGCAAACCGATGTTGTCTGTCGATTTGGCAGGAGGCGATGGACACGACAGCCCGACCTGTGCGATACCTGCCCCGTCTATTTCCTGTTCGTAAGATGTGCGTTCTGTTTGGTTGGGTTGTTTTTACCAGACCGTCGTCCAAAGCTGCTCAAATGACTTAATCCTCACCGTGTGCGTTCCGATATGTTTATTTGTTACATTTCGCGGTTTGTTTTACGGCTTGGCGTTGCTGACGGTGGACACGACAGTGCGAGAAAGGCCCGTTCGACACGTTCACTGAGGAGCGAAAGAAGGTGTGCGGTGACACTTGAGTACGGTACCTTGGAGCGATACGGTAGCCATACTGACCATCGTCGCGCGCTTGTTGTTTCATTTGTTTTCCTTTCCCTCCCTTTCCTGTCACGCGTAGTTTTGCCTACCCTTCACTCCCGCCCCCGTCAATACAGCTCTAGCTCTAAATCGTCCGGGGCCGCGTCAAAGGGGTACGACTGACAATTCTTTCTTGTTGTCCATCTTTGGTTGTGGGTATGATGAGATTACTTCTTACTTTCGTTTTGCCTTTCAGGTTCCTTGCCCGCGTTCCAAGAGATTTTAGCCCCGGTTCTGTGCCGTGCAACCCCCGCCTGGCGGGCGCTGAAGAACTGGGTGTTTCGTTCATGAGGTACGAGACTGCCACGCCGCAGCACACGCAAGGTACGGCTTGGCCTTGGCCTCACCCTATTTTATTGCGCGCTCCTTCTGTGGTAGTAGAACCTCAGAGCCTGCTTGTCTCTTCGGGCCCGCGGAAACGATGGAGTCGTCGAAGAACACCGCTGCACAACAGGGACAGGAACCGCGTCACGGCAACAAGGATTTTTCATGGAATATTCTTGTGGCAATCACTGCACCGCACCTTTCTTGCGCTCTTCTTCCCACCCCGCCCTCGCCGCGACTCTTGCTTACACCTCTCCGGACTGGCTTGTGTGCCCCGCTTGCTACGACCTGCAACTACAGATCCAGGTGGTCACCGGGCACCAGAACGACCTGCACTCGGAGCTGGACGCGTGCTTTACCCCGAAAGCGCAGTACGTCCTGTCGTCCTGTCCAGCCCGGATGACAACGAACGGCATCTACCCGCTGTACGCTTGGCCAACGGAAGACGACACACTTGCCACAAGATACTCTCCCAAGGGGCACTCGTCCGAGGTTGGCGAGGTCATCGCGAGCGCGTGAACGCACACTGCGCTGTGGATGGGCGCGGGTTTGGGACCGGGGTGTGGGATTTCATCTGCTGGTCGCTGAGCCCATTGTCTTGTCAAACCGTAAATTCCTAGAGAAGATTTGGCGTATTTTGGTGTGATGTCTAGTGAGTGTAGTTTGATCAGCTCGGACGCTCTACATTGGTCGAGATGGAAAATTTCCCTGCATTCTTGTTCTATCTCTGTCTTGCGGCAGCGCTGCCTCTGTGTACGTCTAGTCTTCGGTAGGGTCTCCTGGATGCGATTTTGAATTTTGAATTTTGAATTGTCGGCAGAAAGCAAAGTCCAGTTCCAACCTCAGTGCTATCGTTCATGTATTCCTTGCTGTATCAGGTTATGGATCGCGGTGCCGTCGGCGCTTGCACTTGCCTACGTCTTTCTCCGTTCTTTACGAGCTATGTCAACCTAGAGGGTTGAACGCCGCGGTTTGACGGCGAACAGTGCGCTTGTTTTTTAAGGTTCGGTAAACCGCGAAAGCACCGAACACCTTCGCCGCGAGGCTTGATTTCCCCCAAAACTGGCCCATGAGTCCCTTCACGCCCCCTCCCCCCCCCTCGGAAGAGGTCCCCTGGGAAATGTTTAGTCCCCGGGGTACCGTTGCACAGGCTTCAAGGTTCAAGGATATTATTGTATAAGCACGGCGCCGTTCCGTGGGAGGGTGGACTGTAAGTTTTCGGGAAGCACTGCTGTCTCTGTTCATGGGTCGGCGGCCGGTCAGCGGGGAGGATGCAGGAAACAAACACGAACCCCGTTATCCCACACAAGGCGCGACTGATGCACATGCCTCTCTCGTCTTTTATAACCTACCCGAACGCCTTGGTTTCGCACCCACCTTTTTGTTGAACACTTGAACACAGATGGTATGCCAGAAGGGAGCTCTCATGCACAAGCTCGTGTGGTTCTGCACTTCGCGCCGAGGGCGAGGAGATTTGTTTTCCATACCCCGCCCTCCACAGCCAGAGGCCCAACAAAGAAGAGCCGGATTGCAATTGCGGCTCGCCATTGTGCCGCGGGAAGATGTTTCAACGCTAACAGGACGTTGGGGAGAGGGGAAAATGGGGTTCTTATGTGATTGATGAACGTGTATGCTCACGTTTCTGTGGTTGTGGATAATGCGCATGTGGTAGGCATTTATTTGTGTTGTGCGGATTTTATGTAGAGGGGGAGGAGAGTGTGTGAGAGAGGGACTGAAGCCGGAGGCCCAGTAGACAAGACAACACCACAACAGCTCTCTCTCTCTCTCTCTCTCTGTCTCTCTCCCTCTGTGTTTGTGGGCGAGGGTGGAATTCCTTTCAGGAACTATCGACCACGACATTGAGAAGCGGTGTAGCATTTCCAGCAGCATTTCCAGCAGCAACAGCAACAGCAGCAGCAGCAGAGCAGCAGCGTGTGGGCTTGGTGTGGGTGTTGCTGCGCTGGTGCTCTTTCTACTGCTGTTGTGGAAGCTTCAATTATTTTGTTCGTTGTTGTGTACCAAAGGTGTGTAGCTGTACAATGTACAAGATTAATTTCTTTTACGCGTCACCACCGCTTTACCCGCAAGGTGGGGGAAAAAAACATGTGACGTGTTGTTAGGGTTTGTGCTGCATAAATCCTCTGGTGTGCATGCGAACGCGGTTGGACGCAAGAGCGCAGCTATTGAGAGTCAAGTGCTGAGCCAATCTTAGGTACAAAGGTTTCGGGCGTTTTGTTGATTATTGTTTTGCGGATCGACATGTCATGTTTTGCAAGAGAAGAATGCACGCATGCTTCAGGCAGTGGCATTTCGATAGTCGCGAAAAATGCAAACACTACTGTGCACTGTACCGAGCCAAACGAGGTTTGAAAACCGCCTACAAAGAAAGCGCCAGAAAAGGTTACTGTGTTTTGCAACGGCAATCCATGAACCTGCTCAGCATACAAGCGGTGTTGATGCCCGAGTGTTCCTGTTGTGCGGCGGCCTAGCGGTTGATGCACGATCGCATGCGGAATCTACTGCTGTTGTTATGCAACGAGTACATCATCGTTGGTGGATACCAGATGGCGACAGCCACCGCATCTACATAATCTTTTCAAACCTCCACCTCGAGGCAAATGTTTTGTGCACGCAAGGGCCTCAAGCACAAGCCTCAGGAGAAAGAAAAAAGGCGCGATCTCCCTGGTACGTAAAAACAAACCGATTGCACAGACACATTGAAACACTTGCTCCCTCTTTGCAAGTAACAATGGTACTCCAGTCGCCTTGCCCCGCAACACACCCATCCAAATCGCATCCAGTGAAAATCGTTCGTAACGACAAAACGTGGCGATAGTAGAAAACCCAAGAACTTCATGTAAGTAAGGTGCTTTCCACGACCGCGACTTGACTGTTCTTTTGCAGTTTCATGTGGTGTCGCCACTGGTAGGTTCTGTCTCCCCACCTCTAACTTCGTCGTGTCTTATTCCTTGAGATGCCCTATATATGTAGTATACAAGTGAGGGGGGGCGATGCGATGTCAAAACCGGAATCGTTGGCGTCACATGAAACACACTCATTATCCTGTTTGTTTCATCTCGATACTGCAGCTATGCACTGAGTAGTCCACTTTGGCTCACGTCATCGGAGCTAAGCCCTTGATAGCAATCCGTATGTACGCAGACCTTTCAACATCCAGCCAACATAATAGTTGTCATTAATGGCGTTCATTGTTCAGACTGTGTCTCACGATGGTCAATTAAGACCACTCTTGGTTCAGTATTCTCCTGACCCAGAGAAACACCACTACCAGATATATACAGCGGAAACGCGACATTTCGCGGGACCCAATCGAACGCGGTGGCGCACGTAGACAGACTCAGATTCCGTAGGAATCCGAGAGAACACACAGGGGATGCGCATGAAAGTAAAGCCAAGTATGCATACGATGATTGAAATCGATTTTTCGCACCGATTTGAGGGTTGTGCTTGTGCATTAGAAGAAAACAAAATATCGACTGTATTTTCCTACACGGGTGCTGACGACTTAAACCAAGCAAAAATCCAAGACCTGAATAAGATCCAACATAGACGGCATAAACACGAGGCAACATGCTTACACACACAATACATAAGCGCAGTCGATGCTAATAATGCAATTACCTCTACAGGCAAAGGCTTGAGTGAAGCCAAAGCTGTCAAAGCAATACCCATCAAAGGTGAAATGAAAAAAGACGAAAAGGGAAAATCTGGCTACATAGAAGTCTCCGTTTACTTCAAGACACGAGGAGGGCGGGCGATCACAACAGCAGAAGAGTGATTTGACTCACACCTGTTGGAACACGACCGAATACCAACAACATATAAAAAACAAACAACTGAAATCTACTTCTAGGCTGCACCAAATGTCACCCAAAAGGGCTACTGAAAACAGCAAGCAATGTAGTAACGTGGGCTTCCTGCATCAACCCACCTACTTGCTACACGTAGTGCCACAACATCAAAAGCAACACACCCAACCATGACTATTTATCCTGGTCGTGTTAACTAAGATCGAAAGTAAGAATCTTACGAAACAAGTCTGGCTCGGTGGGCACATCAACCACGTTCAGCAAGGGAGAGATGAGGTCACCACCCGACCGATCACGCAACAATAAAACCAACAAGCTCTTTGATCAAGCCACGGATATCAGGCGGGGCGAGGGCGAGACGCTGCTGCTGCTGCTGTTGTTGCTGTTGGCGGTGGGAATAGTGACGTTGGTTCTTCGAGAGAGCACCGTCAGTAGCGGTGATTTCAGAGTGCCAGAATCCATCGGCGACGAGCGTCGGCATGGCAGCAGGAGGAGAACTTGGCACCATGCCCTAGTTCGCGCGCAAGTCCCTCGGCGCCCAGCTCCAGCGCGTGCTGCTGTCGTCGTTGCGCTGCTGCTGGTGCTGCTGGTGCCTGCGCTCGCCCCCCCAACCGTTGCCAACCGTTGCCAACCGTCAGAGTATCGCTGCGGACGCTGCTGAAGAAGTCTGCGTCGGAGAGCACAACGAGGAGCGCCGAAGCGCCGGCCACGACAGGCTCCGGTGTCCACGCCGAGATAGGGTTGCACGCGCCGTCCCCGCAGTCGGCGGCCTTCAAATAGCTTGTTCCTCCGAGAGAGTTCTGGAGCATTCCGCTGCTGCTGCTGCTGCTGCTGCCGCTTGCTGCGGGGAGCACGTTGACGACGATGGGTTCGTCGTCTTCGCTGATTTTTGCCCAGATTGGCAACCCGTCGCTGCTTTCGCCGCCGCCGCGGTAGCCGCCGCCGGCACCCGGGCTGCGCTGGGCGAACACCACACTCGGGGAAGATGCGCGACTCGGGAGCATCTGGGATATCATCGGCTCTTGCGGCGCCAGTGCCGCCGAGGGCGGCGGCTGACCCGCAAACCTGCCTGCCGGACGAGGAGCTGCGGTGGTAGCGGTTTGGTCGGTCGTCAACACCGACTCTTGTTCGGCGGCCATCAGTATTGCCTCCAGCGCCTTGGGCGCATCGTTCAAGGGCGTCGCGTTCACCTCCACGTAGGACGGGATCCAATCAAAACCGCCGGGTGACCGGTTGTCGCTCGCAACCCCCGCCGATGCCCAGCCCTCGGCAGCTCCACAGCACATCGTCCTCAAGGCTCGACACGAACACGTCCTGAACGTCGTCCCAGCTCAGCGAAGACGAGCTGCCGTCGACGCTGGATTCCGAGCCCGGAGCTGACACGGAGCTCCCGCGACGCGACACCATCGGCGGGAGCGAGGCGAACTTTGCCCCAGCGGTCTCCTCCGCCGCTGATGATTTGGATCGCGCTAGGGAGGGGAATGAAGCAGGGAGAGCCGGTGCCACTGGCTGCTGGCGGGCGAAGCGACTGGTGGCGTGCCGTTGGACGGGGAAACAACGGCAGTGGCTGCTGCTGCTGCCGGGGCGGGGCTCTTTACTGCAGGGATCTCCTTCCCATCTTCGTCCTTCCGGTGGTGGCGAGGTCGGGGCTCCTTCCTCGCCACCTCCTGGCTTGGGTGTCGGCGGCCAGGTGCGGCCGGCTGCTGCCTCTTCATTCCGACGGCGACGCGGGTGCCACGGCGGCCGTCGGAGAGGGTGCGAGATCAGCCGGTGTGATGGGCTGGATTTGCCGGGAGGGACGACGGCCCTGAGCGGCGGAGATTGCTGCCACTGGTGCTGCTGCCACCCGGTGGTCGTAGAAGGAGCAGCAGGTGGCTGAAGCTTGTTTCTTCGACGGCTTCTTTGGGGTCTTGCGCCGCTTGATAGGCTTCTTGGCAGTCGTCGTGGAGCTGATGCTGGTCGTCGCAGTTGCCGCTACCGACTCCCTCGCGGGAGCCTTATGTCCCTTCGGGCCGCCGACGCGTTCGACCTCACCCCATGCTTCGCCAGGCACGAGTTGTACGCGTATTCCACGAGGTACTTGGATGTAACTGCAGCTCCACGCGTGGACGCGACAAAACAAGATAAAGGAGGATCAATCACCCTGCCCTCCTCCCTCTGCCGCCTTGGAGTCGTTCACAATATCCTAACCATTCATTGCCCTTTACATATGATCTAAACAGGTACAAGGAAACTTCACCCAATCTCGGGTGCCCTCGATGACATCATCTCGGTCAACATTAATTGAATACAACACCAACGAGGAACAGCAGTGCGGGTGACAATGTTCTGAACTTGATGAGAATCTTGGTCCCGTGCTACTGACTAGGCAGCGCTGACTAGTATAATGGTTTGATTTCGGCTTCTATATTTCTCGTCGTCGCTCACTGAATGCAGAGCACTCACTGAGGTTCAGCGTGGGCTCACACGGCGGAATGCCCACAGTTCGCATTCAGAAATCATAGGGGAAAAGGCCGCAAAGATACGAACACTTCCACGCTCTCCGCTACCCGTCGAAAAAACGAACACGCTAACTAATTGCCGCTAAAACAGCCAGTTGCTAACTACTACGAGAATTTGGCCATCACGAGAAAGCTCACTTCCCGGCGTCACTTCCTGGCCGTGGTTGGCGCCTGGGTTTACAGCAGAACCGATTGTGTGGCAGGATTTCGAGTGGCAGCGGCTCAGCTGACGCTATCTAACTATTGTTTCGGAGCCTCAGACTCGCCAACGTACTATGTACGTTCGCTCACCGAGAAGAGGCATGTGCTCGAGGAAGTGCGCTAGGCCAGGAGCCACCGGGACCGATGCTGCTCCTACATCCACCGACATCACCGCTGCAGCTTTGTTGGCGTTCGGGTCGCTGATTGCCATCACCTGCTCGTGTATAGGCCCACAGATTGCGGTTGCTTACATGAGCTGGGTCCAATTGCGTCAACAGCCAAATCTTGTGGTTTGAGCTCCGATTAACAAGAAATTGTTTAGCTTATCAGACTGCCAGGGTAGTGTTGAGAGTTCGTGAGGGTCCAGGCCTCGGGGAACAGGGGGTTACTTGCGCCGCCACACACAAAAGAGTCTACATCGTCGGGGGTTTAGATATGTCTGGGCATTGACATCACTATTTAGTAATGTCTTGTGCCATAAACCACAGCCACAAGTAAAAACAAGCGACTGTGACCAGCAATAGCAACGTGGGTGACGCATATAGCAGACACGGTCCGAAAAATTAATCAATGCACCCGGACCTGCAGACCGTTGGGCAAGAGCAGCCTCGGTTCGGATGTCCATGGGCGACACGAGGTTTCCTTCAGGATCCTTCCAGGGCCATGCCTCAAGCGCCGCCGCAAGAGGTTCTGAGACATGACGAAACGTTGCAAAACAGCCGGCGGTTTTTGATCAACAGATGAACAAAGCACCGTGGACCGTTGTCAGAATGCCATCAGACAACGGTACCCCTGCGGAGTGCCATGTATGTACGCCAACGCGTGCAGCAGTTTTGACGCAACACACGACCTGCCATCTGGCATATAGAAGCGTTAAGTACACCATGTACAACAACAGCTGAGTGCAATGCGCACAACACGCGGGTTCAATGGCAGCTTGCTCCCCCACCTCTAGACACTCTTGAGAGGCAAACTACAGGCTCTGCGCACAGCAATGAACCCGAGAACCAACACCATCACACCCTCCTCTCAGGAATAGTAGTAGGACGGACTCTCGTGAAACACGACGGAAATGACGGCATTTTTTTGTCTGCTCCAGTGTGCGGCCAACGTAACGGCAGAGGACAAGCCGCGAAAAGCTGTGAAAACCTACGATGTCTTCGAATATCTATACGTAATGGACACCTCCGGGCTACATATCCTCGACGAAGAAGGTGGTTTCCGCAACCCCATGCTCCGGCGACCAACGTCAACCTTGATGTTCCACGACGTACAGCACACCTCAACACCCTGATGTACCGCCTAATGGTTGACGTCCCACTGCTGTATCATGGCATGCATTTACAAAAAGGTCAGCAGTGAACACGAGGGGCGTGCCTGCTACTTCGTAAGTACATATCTATCAGCACACCGCCCTGCGCTGGTGAACCACAGCGCGTGGGCAGACGACGCTTGTTCGCTTGCGTGGCGGGGCATATTCCAAATCATGTCTTTAAACTAACCCAAGTTTAACCCCTTCAGGGCTAAATCGACTTTTGGGGCCATCTTTTGGCCCCTTCTTTTTTTTTTTCTTTATTGCGTACATTTAGTATGCGAGCGATTCCAAGTTACATCTTTCGTGCAATTTTCGTTGAAATAACTCGCTCGCGTGATCTCGTGCCTTGCGAGACTGTGAGAGTGCGGCCAATGGTCATCCGACGAATGTTGTATGCTATGATGGGCCGCACGCCGCTGCGGAGCTTCAGGATGCAACACACACAAAAACAAAAAAGTTTAAAAAGTTTATTCCAAAATCTACACCGCCACTCGTGGTATGCTGGTGCGAACCCCGGTTGGCAAGACAGACACATGACATCTTGGGAACACGATGCACAAAAGCACGGCCGACAACTGCTGCATGCAGCCTAAACGCGTACTGGCGGTGGTCTCCCAGTTATCTCCCCCGAGGACACCACGAATTGCAAGGTGCTGGAGGTAGCAGGCGATGGTCATTGCGCTCTGCACGGCATCTACAGGCTGCTGCACCCCGAGCGAGATAGCGTCTTCGGTGCACTAGCAAGCGAGATAACACAGACCCGCAAAGATGTCGGCCTGGAAATGATAACTGCTGTTTTCTCTGAGGACTACGAGCAGCTAGTGGACAAGACGGTGTCTGACGAGGAAATGCTGAGACTTGGCAAGCTCGACTACGAGAGGGGTTTCTACCGAAAGCGCACCCCCTCCGCCGGCCGAGCTGCAAGAGCTGTAGGACACAAACCACTCAAGACTGTGCGAGAGGTGGTGGCGGGCATCGAGGATCAACTGGAGCACGATTACTTGGCGATAGGTCAGCTGGCGTTAGTAGCTGCGGTGAAACGTTGCAATATCGTGGTCTGGGAAGCAAAAACTGGAGGTGGGCTTCGAATCGTGGAAATGGGCGACACCACGGGCTGTTTCGTTGGCGATCTTTATCAGGATGAGTTCTGCACCTGGTGTACAATGAATTCGGGGGCTACAACGCAGCTACGTATGCTGCGGGTACGGCTTCAGTGCGCAACCCAAGCAGCAGCAACGTGGCGGAAACAACATTCAACCACTTTAGCGCCATCTTTATCCCACAAGAATCCGTCCCATGGGCAAAGCCATACATGCTACAACGGGGATCCTCTGGTCGATCTGTGTTTGGGCACGAGAAGCCTCCAGACAATTTTTGCCCGTGCCCAACCACATCGGACGAGCGTCCGATGAAACATCAGGGCTCTCCCGTGCCGATCGACGTGGATGACGAGACCGAGACAAGCAGCAGCGTGCGATCGCGACCTTCTGCTGGAGGTGCCGGGCCCGTCAAAACGGCGTCACCCAGGGATGTACCGGAGAGGAAGGCGACGCCGCCTGGGAAAGCGGTGACGAAGCCCGCGGTAGTTCCTTTCGCGAGCGGCATGTCGGTAACGACCAGGTCGAAGGAGAAGCCCATGCCGAAGGAGAAACCACTCGAGCTCTACAGCAGCAAGCCCTGTGGGGCCGAAGCGAAATCTCCCTGCGGTATGTTCTGTAATAAGCACAGCCGGCAGGGTAGGGAGCCGTACATGCGGTAGGGGTGTACAAGGGGGTGATGACGAAGCGGAGTACGAACAGGAGCCTGAGGGGGACGACGACATGAGTGACGGCGGTAGTGAGGGCGAGTTTCCGGGGGACGCAGCAGACTACGACCAGGATGTGTTCGTGAGTGGCAAGAGCCCTCAGCAGGTCAAGGCGATGGTGGACAAGATACAGGAGGCCTGGGGAAAGGAGGCACTGACTTTCATCTTTGGGTTGGCGCAAAACACCAAGCAACTCGTGCAAGACCGCAACGTAAGGATGGGCGCATTTTTTTTTCGGTGAACCCTAGCCGCTTTTGAATTGTCAAGTGTTGTCGTTTGTGTGTTGCGGCAGCACGAGAGGCACAGTAGTACGACTTCGCGCGGTTAAATACTTCTGTTTCATAGTCGTGGGCGTGTCGGCAACAACTATACGTGTCACTGAGCGACGGGAGGGTGGGAGGGGTACTCCCGCAATCAATAATCGATAGTGCACCACGTTGTGTATGCCTGAGGCTAGAAGGAAGGGACCTCTCTCTTTGCTTGTTGCTTCTCCCACTGC